GGTTAAAGGTCAGCACTAAAAATAGACTTGAGTATATCCCTGCTCTCCATCTATCAGCGTCAATTTGTAGAGTCAGACAATTTTGTGTACCAGAGTTTGTTTCGTGGCTTTATTTTATGATTATGTTTTGTTTCTATCTTTCATTAAACTGACCGTTTTAGTTATCCGCAATGGTGGTTGGTCCCGTTTCTATAGAACAATGGTTTTCAACCTTCCAAATGAGACGACCCTATACTACAGTTCCTCATGTTGTGGCTAAACCCCGCCCTACCATACAGCTATTTTCCTTGTTACTTCATAACTTCAGTGAATATGTGTTTTGCGATGGTCTTTGAGTCACGACCCATATGTTGAGAAACACTGCTATAGATAAACATGACAAACAGAAGGAACCTGTTTCTATTAACGAAAATTGTGACAGCTAAGTTTCTATAGATGAACATTTTGACACCCAGGATGAACATGTTCTTTTAAATATGAACACTGTGACAATTTTAAAAAATATTACGCGAACCTGAGGGGGGGGGAAACATGTCTGTAGATGAAAACTGTAACCAAATGGAACATTGTGACAAGCTTTAAGAAAACGGGGTTCTGTACCTAAACAGAAAGAACATGAGTCAATGAGAAACATTCCGACAATGTGACAACATAGAAGAACATGTTTCTATAAGACAAACATTGTGATAACCGGGGAGAACATGTTTCTATAAGACAAACATTGTGATAACCGGGGAGAACACGTTTCTATAAGATAAATATTGTGACAACTGAAGAGAACATGTGTCTATTAAATGAACATTGTGGCAACAAGGCAAAACATGTTTCTATGAGATAAACATTGTCACAACCGGGGAGAACACGTTTCTAATAGATAAACATTGTGGCAAACCGGGGACAACACGTTTCTAATAGATAAACATTGTGACAACCGGGGAGAGCATGTTTCTATAAGATAAACATTGTGGCAACCGGGGAGAACACGTTTCTAATAGATAAACATTGTGACAACCGGGGAGAGCATGTTTCTATAAGATAAACAATGTGACATCCAGGGAGAGCATGTTTCTATATGATAAACAATATGACAACCGAGGAGGACATGTTTCTATAAGACAAGCATTATGGCAATAGGGAGAACACGTTTCTTTAAAATAAACATAGTGACAACCAGGGAGAACATGTTTCTATTAGATAAACATTGTGACAATAGGGGAGAGCATGTTTCTATAAGACAAACATTGTGACACCCTAGAAGAAAATGTTTCTATTAGATAAACATTGTATCAACAGGGGACATCATGTCTTTGTAAGACAAACATTGTGACAACTGACAAAAAACATGTGTCTATAAGACAAACATTGTGACAACCGGAGGAAGCATATTCCTATAAGATAAACAATGTGACAACCGGAGGAAGCATATTCCTATAAGATAAACAATGTGACAACCGGAGGAAGCATATTCCTATAAGATAAACAATGTGACAACCGGGGAGAACATGTTTCTCTAAGATAAACATTGTATCAACAGGGGACATCATGTCTTTGTAAGACAAACATTGTGACAACTGACAAAAAACATGTGTCTATAAGATAAACATTGTGACAACCGGAGGAAGCATATTTCTATAAGATAAACATTGTGACAACCGGAGGAAGCATATTTCTATAAGATAAACATTGTGACAACCGGAGGAAGCATATTTCTATAAGATAAACATTGTGACAACCGGAGGAAGCATATTTCTATAAGATAAACAATGTGACAACCGGGGAGAACGTGTTTCTATTAGATAAACATTGTCACAACCAGGGAGAGCATGTTTCTATAAAATAAACATTGTGACAACCGGGGAGAACATGTTTCTCTAAGATAAACATTGTGACAACCGGGAGAACATGTTTCTATAAGATAAACATTGTGTCAACCGGGGAGAACATGTTTCTCTAAGATAAACATTGTGACAACCGGGGAGAACATGTTTCTCTAAGATAAACATTGTGACAACCGGGGAGAACATGTTTCTCTAAGATAAACATTGTGACAACCGGGAGAACATGTTTCTATAAGATAAACATTGTGACAACCGGGGAGAACACGTTTCTAAAAGATAAACATTGTGACAACCGGGAAGAACATTTCTCTATAAGACATCCGGCGAGAGTATGGGAAAAAGGGGGGGGGGGGGGGAGCACACTGTATTTTTAATAGGTTCAATATCAGACAGGAAGAGAGTGTGAGAGAGCATGAGAAAGAGACAGTGTGTGTGTGTGTGTGTGTGTGTGTGTGTGTGTGTGTGTGTGTGTGTGTGTGAAATGGATTAAAGACAGTGAGAGCGTCGAGTGGGCTGAAGAGTGGATAGACAGACATACAAAGATAAAACCACGGGCGGGCAGGCTGATCGATGTGATGGGGGATTTCTGTGTGTGTGTGTGTATGTGTGTGCAGTGAATGACGACGACGACCACGAAGAAGAAAAAGAAGAAGAAGAGGAGGAGCAGGGGAGCAAGAGACGAAGCAGTAGCCTAAGAAGAAGAAGCAGGAGATAATGGTGATGATAAAGACGATAAGTAGACAAAGAAGACAGAAAGGAAGACGAATAAAAAAAGAAGAATATGATAATGGGGTTAATAGGGAATTAAGGAAGAAGCAGAAGATAAAATGATTATGATGATGATGAGTAGGAGGAGGACAAGAAGAAGAAGAAGAAGAAGAAGAAGAAGAAGAAGAAGAAGAAGAAGAAGAAGAAGAAGAAGAAGAAGAAGAAGAAGAAGAAGAAGAAGAAGAAAAAGAAATAGCAACAGCAGTAGCAGAAGAAGAAGAAGAAGAAGAAGAAGAAGACGAAGAAGAAAAAGAAGAAGTAGAAAAAAGAAGAAGAAAACGAAGAAGAAGACTGAAATGTGAGCATGGCATCATCTTTAAATGCGGTTTTCTTCAACAAACTAACATTTCTTTATAAAAGTAATTTATTTCTTTCTTTTCTTCGGCAGATGACTCATCGTATCCACAATTTGGACCACTAAACATGGCTGAAAGAGAGTTAATGAAATCCTGTGTGCTATGAACTGGGAGCTCTCCCTTCTGGTCTCCGGAGCGCTCTCTTTTTGGGGCCAATCTAGTTTTCCAAAAATAGAACTCAGTCGGAATAACAAGAGGTGAATTATCGATCTATTGGACGTCAGGCTGCAGCTCATCCTTCCTCTTGCCTGAGGTAGTTAGCACGTTTTACGCCAAGATTGTCGGATTCTTCAAAATTACTGATCGATGAAATCCTACAAACGGAACGTAATTTCTGAAATTGGTTTATATTTAGACATATACTGGCAACCAAGTCGCTGTTTGCAATGCCTAGTGACACGTGACTTTAAAAAAAAATCAGTTATAACGAAAACTGAATTATAACATTTATGTACAATTTTAAGTTGTTCTTATTTTTCGTACACAGCTTTAGGGTTTCTAACGATTGTTGATACATATTTTATGTCTATTAAAGTTAACGTCAGATTTTGCAAACAGATATTGCCGGCGTTTACTGTCTATGTGGTTTTACTAGGCGATTTACGTTGACTGGTTTGGAATTCCAGCTAAACGGCACAACGTCCATACCGTCAAAATCATCGCAAAGCAGTATGCTGCCAAATAACAAGCAGCAGGTTTCGAACTATCAATATGTAGGCATTGCAAAAACTGCATTCACAACCACTGAGTCGGAGACGCCAACGTTGGATAAAGATACAAATATGTTCTTGATAACGAACTTATGATGTCGCCCGTATGTTATAGTGTTATTTGTGACGTTTAAGTGCAGTACAGATATTTTATATAACCTGAGTTTTACGCCATGTCAGAAACGATGGCTCAACAACAAAGTACAGAGAACATACAACAAAGCAGCAACACCGGTTCTAACTCACTTCGACCAAATTCTTCTCTCTTGAATTCTGGATCCGATGAAGATGTCAACTCCGTACGTTCCAAATCCAGGTCGCCAAGGAACAGCACTCTAGAGTATCCACAGATGCTCAGTCTCCGCGACCATTATCAAATTGTTCGTGATTTGGGGAGAGGTACGTATGGAAAAGTCGTTCAGGCTATCTGCAAAGAGACAGGAGCGAATATTGCTCTTAAGATATTGCCGAAGACCACAACAAAATTAAAGGAATTTCAAAGAGAGTTAAACATAAGCTACTATTTATCCCCGCACGCAAATATAATTGACAGCTACAATGTCGCGTTTGAAACTCGAGCCAGTTACGTCTTTGCTTTGGAGTGTGCGCCCTTTGGCGACCTCTTTGATTCTATCCCGCCACAAGTTGGTATGTCGGAAGAGGACACAAAAACAGTGATCCGACAAGTAACTTCTGCTCTGGAATTTATGCACAGCAAGAAACTAGTTCATCGAGATATCAAACCAGAGAATATTCTAGTCATGGCTCCAGATTTTTCTAAAGTCAAACTCATGGACTTTGGCATGACCAGAAGAGACGGTGCCACAGTTCGTAAAACAAACGGCAGCATTCCATACACCCCTCCAGAAGTTTGCGAAGCTGTCAGAAACGAAACTATTCTTGTCAACAGTGCTATAGATGTTTGGGCTCTGGGCGTACTGTTATTCTGCATGCTAACTGGCAACTTTCCCTGGGAAAACGCCGATACCGGGGACATCTACTTCAAAGAGTTTATCCTTTGGCAGAGAAGAAAGACCACCAAAACGCCATCCCAGTGGAGGAAATTCACACCCCGTGTCATGAAATTCTTCAGAAAAACACTGGACATTAAACCCAGTCGTCGAAGCTCAGTTAAAGAACTGTCCAAATACATTAACGATTCCTGGTTGCTCCATCCGACAGACATCAGTGTCCATGAGACAGATTCGGGGACAGAAGCTGAACAAATTGACCATCTGTCCATAATGCTCAGAGATCATGGGATCGATACTCGAGTTGACAAGCGAATTCGGGACCGCAGAATATCCGAATGGTTGCTGTCACTATGACTGTGTATATAACGTAGAATAACCTTTGAACCTCCACGGTATTAACTCATTGATTACATTACAGTATAGAGGCGCCGTGGCGTAGCGGCTAGAGGATTGCCTGCTGGTCCTAAGGTCGTGAGTTTCTTCTTCTTCGCGTTCACCAGCTGTAAACTCTGGCGAAAAGTTCTAGTTGTTCATTTACCTGGGTGTTGCGTGTGCATCCGTTTCACAGATCTAGCTCATTTGTATGCAGACTGCTGGTTCCTTGCCTATGAGGCAAATGCACTCCGACTTTGAAGGTAGCTCCCTATTAGTCGACCTACGACATGCTTTTTTATTAGTCAGTGGGTCTATTCTTGTTTTCCCTATGACAGGGCCCCGGAACCCACACGTTGAGTCGTGGGTTTGAATCCGCATCGAATCCCCTCCCCCACCCCAAAAAGACATTGGCTTCCAAGTCGACTCAGCCTAAAATTAAAACTACGGTCCTGGGGAGTAAAGGCGGCCGGTGTAAAACTGACAAAATCACCCATCGGGTGCCGATAGGTCTTCAAAATGCAGGTCTAGGCTACTCTTTTCAATTTCTTTTTCAAACATGCGCAACAATACACACGGGCGTCCGGTCTTACTACCCAGAGACCAGGGAAAATTACTAGTAATCCACGTAAAAATATCCCAGCCTTCGCCAGGGCTTTAACCCGGAACCTCCAACTTTCGAGGCGGATGCCATGCCTTGAGACCACACAGCCTCGCTGTTACAGCCGAAGATAGTGATTATTGCAAGTACAAATGTTCTAGATTTCAAAATTACTTGATAATCCTTGATATTTAATCACGCCCCCTTAGTCCTCCCTCCCACCCCAATCCCCCCACCACCCCCCAGATTTGATACCCCTGGTATAAATATATCGGCACTCGGTGTGTGATGTGGTCAACGCCACGCAGGTCGCCTTTACTTCCCGGGACATTATCTAGTACCCATTATAGGCTGGGTGGACCTGGGCAGGGCAGGTAAGTTTTGTAAAACATCAGACTTAGTGAGGATTCTTGTTTGCCGGTTGTAAACTCCGACGAAGTTTGTTCGTCCAACTGGGCTTTATAGTCTTGTTCCAGAACTTGAGTGTTGTGTGCACAATCGTTTTACAGATCTGACTTATTTGTGTAGGCATACTGTTGGTTCCTTGCCGCTCGGGGCAGATACACACCGACTTCGAAGGAAACCCCTAACTAGTTGACTCTTACGACGCTTATAAAGAAGGCAGTGGGTCGCTGTCCTTGTTTTGCCCACAACGGGGTCCAGAACCCACAGGGGGAACTTGGTGTGGACCTAAGACTTTCGGACCGGCAGGCAAGCATCTAGTCGCTACACCATCCTGCTCCCGTTTATTTATAACATTATACGTTTGGCCAGTAAAACAATACTGGTTACTAGCTCATCAAATAGTTTGGCCAGTAAAACAATGCTGGTTACTAGCTCATCAAATAGTTTAGCCAGTAAAACAATACTGGTTACTAGCTCATTAAATAGTTTAGCAAGTAAAACAATACTGGTTACTAGCTCATCAAATAGTTTAGCCAGTAAAACAATACTGGTTACTAGCTCATTAAATAGTTTAGCCAGTAAAACAATACTGGTTACTAGCTCATTAAATAGTTTAGCCAGTAAAACAATACTGGTTACTAGCTCATCAAAAAGTTTAGCCAGTAAAACAATATTGGTTACTAGCTCATCAAATAGTTTGGCCAGTAAAACAATACTGGTTACTAGCTCATTAAATAGTTTGGCCAGTAAAAAAATACTGGTTACTAGCTCATCAAATAGTTTAGCCAGTGAAACAATACTGGTTACTAGCTCATCAAATAGTTTGGCCAGTAAAACAATACTGGTTACTAGCTCATTAAATAGTTTAGCCAGTAAAACAATACTGGTTACTAGCTCATTAAATAGTTTGGCCAGTAAAACACTACTGGTTTCTAGCTCATCAAATAGTTTGGCCAGTAAAACAATATTGGTTACTAGCTCATCAAATAGTTTGGCCAGTAAAAAAATACTGGTTACTAGCTCATCAAATAGTTTAGCCAGTGAAACACTACTGGTTACTAGCTCATCAAATAGTTTGGCCAGTAAAACAATACTGGTTACTAGCTCATCAAAAAGTTTAGCCAGTAAAACAATATTGGTTACTAGCTCATCAAATAGTTTGGCCAGTAAAACAATACTGGTTACTAGCTCATCAAAAAGTTTAGCCAGTAAAACAATACTGGTTACTAGCTCATCAAAAAGTTTAGCCAGTAAAACAATACTGGTTACTAGCTCATCAAAAAGTTTAGCCAGTAAAACAATATTGGTTACTAGCTCATCAAATAGTTTGGCCAGTAAAACAATACTGGTTACTAGCTCATCAAAAAGTTTAGCCAGTAAAACAATACTGGTTACTAGCTCATCAAAAAGTTTGGCCAGTAAAACAATACTGTTTACTAGCTCATCAAATAGTTTGGCCAGTAAAACAATGCTGGTTACTAGCTCATCAAATACTTTGGCCAGTAAAACAATGCTGGTTACTTGCTCATCAAATAGTTTGGCCAGTAAAACAATGCTGGTTACTTGCTCATCAAATAGTTTGGCCAGTAAAACAATGCTGGTTACTTGCTCATCAAATAGTTTGGCCAGTAAAACAATGCTGGTTACTTGCTCATCAAATAGTTTAGCCAGTAAAACAACGCTGTTACTTGCTCATCAAATAGTTTGGCCAGTAAAACAATGCTGGTTACTTGCTCATCTAATAAACTACGTTTTTTTATAAACAGTGGTGTGTTTATTTTTTAGTATTACTGAAAAGCTTTCACGTGCGATGAATAATAGAATACTTGGCATCAGGTGGCAGGATAAGATCATTAACACTGAGGTATTGGAAAGTGCAGATATTTAAAATGCTGTCTACAAAGGCTCATGTAGATGGTCACTGTTGTGTGCTAACTTGTTGTTCACAGCAAACAGCACATGGCCTAGTGTCTAAGGACACAGTTCACGCTTCCACACACAACTGTCAGGAACTCGTCGTAAAGACCGCCATATATGCACTTTTTATTGTCACGAACCCTCACACATACAACAATGCAAGCGAAGTAATTCATACGTCTGTCCTGGCTAACATGAGATGAATGTTCCACACTTCGCTCACTCCCACAGGTATAGCGACGATCTTATGGACAGCTAGAATTAGCCGCGACTACACATGAGCTGACCGCTACAGTTTCTAGGTCTACCGCGTCCCGCACCTCCGGGCTCACTCTACAGAAGAACAGGATATATCTCCTATTCAACTTGACCTCTGTTGCTCTATCCGGAGCAGACACCGTCACATCAGCTGACTGGAGACGTCACAATACTCGATCTCCAGCATGTGCAAACAGCACATCAGCCTGATGACCGGCAGGACTCCTGGCTCTGACTCCCCTTCAGCACACAGCTATCGCCGACATCTCTACTGTCTTGTTTCACTAGTTATCCTCCCGCTTACATGCGTCGTCACCCAAGACAGCTTCTTCTTGAAGCAGTCCAGCTCTCTTGGCCTGACTCTGCCAAATGGACTTCTCTTCCTTTGATTGCACTCTCGACTGTCCTTAGACCAGTCTCTCACATATGCTTCCACTCGAACGTTCTCGTATCAACGGTTCGAGTTCTCAACCGTCCACTGCTCTCTCAACTGAACTCAAACCAGTATATACCCTTGCCTGCCCCTTGTGAGCTGGCCCGTAAACAAGAGATTTACGCTGTCATGCATCCCAAACTTCTTCCGTGCAACAGCTGCTATCCCGCACTACTCACGATAGTTAGCCCACACTGGACTAATACTTCGTGAATCCTCTGGTCCATCCCGACCCAAGTCAACTCTCACTTGCCATAATATTGACTCAGCCGACGGACATCTCCTGCCTTAAGTCAACACTGTACCAAATACTGACTCGGGTCACCAGACATTCCCATGGACTCTTGAAAACCCCACATTGTCCCCTACGATGTTACAACCCACACGAATCAGCATGCAAGTCACACGTGGACAATGGTAAGAGTCCTTAATGGCATTCTCTGTGGCAGTGGATCTCAACCTTTTTACTGCCGCGACCCTTTAATACAGTACCCTTATGTTGTGGCGAATCCAAACAATTATTTTCCTTTACAAGGTTAGTCGCGTATCATTTACAGGACGTTACAGAACCAACCCCAGCAGCCCCTGGCTGTTGTTTGGTTTTTCTAGGCAAATTTATGTCCAGTAGTTTGCCTTTGCCGCTGGAAGGTCGGCTTTCTTGATGCCACTGTCGGAACCAACGCAAGGTGCATGGCCCGCAGTTGGGATCGAATCCAGCATCCCGGCATTACGAAGCGTTCGCATCGACTTAGCCACAGAGCCGACTTTTCCTTCACAACTTCACTGAATATATGTTGTCCGATGGTCTTGGGCGACACTTGTGAAAGGGTCGTTCTACCCACACACACAAAAGGGTCGTTCTACCCACACACACAAAAGGGTCGTTCTACCCACACACACAAAAGGGTCGTTCTACCCACACACACAAAAGGGTCGTTCTACCCACACACACAAAAGGGTCGTTCTACCCACACACACAAAAGGGTCGTTCTACCCACACACACAAAAGGGTCGTTCTACTCATACACAAAAAAGGGTCGTTCTACCCACACACACAAAAGGGTCGTTCTACCCACACACACACACAAGGGTCGTTCTACCCACACACACACACAAAAGGGTCGTTCTACCCACACACACAAAAGGGTCGTTCTACCCACACACACAAAAGGGTCGTTCTACCCACACACACAAAATGGTCGTTCTACCCACACACACAAAAGGGTCGTTCTACCCACACACACAAAAGGGTAGTTCTACCCACACACACACAAAAAGGTCGTTCTACCCACACACACAAAAGGGTCGTTCTACCCACACACACAAAAGGGTAGTTCTACCCACACACACAAAAGGGTCGTTCTACCC